TGCATATATATATTTTTTGAATTTAAGATTTAGTTGTAGTAGTATAAAAAAAAAAATAGGTGAGCCGACGAGCCAAGCTGCTCGTCTTGGGCGAGTTCAGGCACGAGCCGAGCTCGCCCAAAAGGAAACGAGCCAAGCTTAAGCTCGGCTCCTTTCCAACGAGCCACGAGCTCGGCTCGTGCGAGTATGGGCCGAGCCGAGCACAGCCCATTGACAACACTGTGCGAGGAAGATTTTGGCCATCGATTCCGGCCAAATCCGATGATGCTAGGGCTGCTGGCTGGGTGGTATATGTAGAGGGGATTGAGGGTTGTCCAATGGTATGGAGTTTAGTCGGCTCGGCCCATTGACACCACTACGTGCAAGGAAGTTTTTGGCATAGGTTGGATTTTTAATTATATATTGGAGACTCATTTGTAATAGTTTGAAATTTTGGGACTGTGATTCTAAATTTTTCTTTATTTTTTTCTTTTTTGTTTTATTGAAATATGAGGGCTTATTCGTCATTTTATAGCTTTTAATAAATAGATGAAAATGATGATTTCCGCAATGAAGAAACATGGGTGAAAATGCAAAAATTTAAAACGTAATGATGTTTTACACACTGAAGGCCAAAGAGGGGAACATTTAATAAGCCTTTTTTAAATGTAGGTTTTATTATCTTTATGCTTTTTTATTTGGAAATGTTTCAAAATTTTCATTACCAATTTAATTCAATTTTTCAAATCTAAATAAAATATTAAATTGGTTTGGTGCATGTAGCAGGCAAATTCTAAATGAAATAAAATATAAAATTGCAACGAAGGGTTGGAATTCATTTTGAGTAATGGTTCTTTTAACATGGTGGTATAATTGAAATGAGTAATGTTATTTATCATTATGACAATGAAATATTGATGATGTAACAATTTATAATCTCTCATACTTTTTTCTCTCTTCCATTTCATAAAAATTGAACTATTCAATTTCATTATTCCAGTTCAACTACCACATATTTCATCACAAAATAAATAATACCATTATTCAATTGACACTAATCTTTGAGTTTGGCAGGGATAGTGAAGCAATTCATAGTTTGGTGTCAATCGCTGTAATTAATCTTCGCTATTTCCAATGTTAAAAATTTACAGTGCATCAAAGAGTATATTCCTGTACCCCCCATCTGTGAGAAGATTCTCGATTACAATGAACAAGATGTGGATTGCAGTTTCAGCCACAGTGGTGGCCTTAGTCGCCATAGCTTCATTTTCTCCACTTGACAAATTCTTTCCCAACTTCGCACTTCCTCGTAAGTAATCATAATCATAATCATAATCATTATCAAAATCAAATATCAGTGAATTGTAATTAAGTTCGTGTTTGGCCGGCACAATCTCCTTTAGCACAATGTACTTACCCACCGCCTCGCTGTGCTACCGAAGAGAATTATACTGACTTGTTAAAATTGTATTGAATTTTTGGTTTTTACGGATATATATATGTAATGATGATGGTAGAAATTTGTATTATTGTCTGAGTTTTTCTTGCATTGATTTTGGGTTTTGCAGATTTTTTTTCGCATGGTGTAGTGGCAGATTTGTTGGTGACAAACGGGACTATATATACCGGTAACGACACTCTTCCCTTTGCTGACTCCATGGCAATTCGCAATGGTCGGATTCTCAGAATTGGCAACTATTCCTCAATGCAGGTCTTTTGTTTATTCCCCCGTTGAACTTAATTTTCATTCAGTTTCACTCTTACAAGTAATCGCATTTTGAAGTTTTTTGGTTGAACTTTTAGATTCTAGTATCATAAGCGAATTCTTTGTGAGTGTCTAGTTACATAGCAGAGGTTGATAAATTTACTAAAATATAAAAATGTGAAGGATTTTGAAGAAGTTCGCAAAATGGGGAGTCAAGTAGGTGATTCGTGAGCTCAGTTGAAATTTTTCGAGAAGTTGTATGGTTATCCTGGAAACAGAGGAGAGAATGTTGTTTATTAAAAGATATATAGGCAAACTGAGAATGAAGCTAGAGACTTCAAGAAAGCTAATTGAGTGAAAGACATCTTAAATTAGAATTTAGGAGAGTATCTTTGAATTAAAGTTTTAGGGCAAGTAAAATTAACTTGGAACATATAAAACATCTTTTTAGTTATAGTAGAAATAAAGGTGATAGTGGAATAAGAGTAGATATAGATGATCATGTTGTTTAACGAGCGATTGTTTACATATTAAGGTTTGATTGTTTTTTTTTTTTTTTTTGAAAGGTTAAGGTTTGATTGTTAATAAGAATGAAGTATCTTATCAAAAAAAAAAAGAATGAAGCATGTAAGAGAGGATGTCATTTTTATGACAAATCAAGTAGGAATTCGTCATGATCGATAGACACTATATAGTTAAAAGGCCAGTATTACTAAATGGTTAATTGACCAATGACCACTTATGCTTTATAGTACTGAATTGTGGGCCTCTGAAGAACAAAATGTAGAAGATAAATGAAATCTAATAATCAACATTTTGGAGATGGATGATGCTTTCTTTTCATGCTGTCACATAATGAATATCTTTTTATTCTCCTTTTGGATCATACACGTTTTACATACCTTTGCCATTACTTTTCCCACAAAGAAGCAATTTTTTTCTAATTTATTATATTTTTCTCTTAAATGATGACATAATCAAACAGTTTTAGGGGGAAATAGAAATAGGGATTGTTATGCAGTTGGACACTTTTTTTTCTTTTTTCAATCTAAACTGATTAAAAAAGCCATAATCTCTTTTCGTTATTGTTTGCTTATATATGGATGCATGTCATTGCAGGACTTGGCAGGATTTGCTATTAAAACATTGAATCTAGAGGGGAAGGTCGTGGTTCCTGGATTTATTGACTCACATGTTCACTTAATTTTTGGAGGATTGCAGGTTCTTGCTATAATATTTCAATTGTGTTCATTTTTCTGTTCCTAGATGTGATAATACAATCTTTGCTTCATATTTCATACATTTTGATCAAGAAGAGGTTGTAGGCTAAAGCATTCTTTTAGTTCTTTAATCAAACTAAACTACAAAAATAATTCTTTTGCTCTTTCAACATTATTCCTTTGTATCTTTTTCAGTTTGAGTTGATATTTTGACATATATTTTGGTCGAGTAGATATCGTACAAGTNTTGATATTTTGACATATATTTTTGTCGAGTAGATATCGTACAAATACTTTTTATTAATCTATTTATTTGAGTATCTCAGCCAAATTTTAAAAAAATTCTGTGAAGAATCCTTTATGTTATTTTATTTTAAATTTTAAATTGACACAACTGTTTGTGGTCATGTTCATTTGTACATCTGAAATTCAGTTATGCTTATTTTCAGAAATTTATTGTTTTAACTGGAAAGTTCTTTAGGAGATGAGTATTTAGCATGGAAAAAGAAAAGAGATGCTTGGTCTGAGCATTTAGAAATTGTAGAAGGGACTAAAAGTGAACAGTATGACAGTGAGGACATTACAACTCTCTCATACTCAATAAACAATTGCTTATATTGTTTTTATTAACACATAATTTAGACAGAAAAAGTTGTAGAAACAAGAATTTTGGACATTTAGTTGCAAATAGAATGTGGTTATGAAAGGAGAACTTTTTTGGGTGATTGAAATGACTGTTTGCACAAGAATTTTCAATGATAGGAAGTTTGAGTAATTTCAAAACTCTCTCTCTCTCTCTTTTCAATAAGAATTTGAACTGACAATGTTTGTCATCACTTTAAATATTGAAGGTTCACTGTGAATAATGATAGTATTGCAAAGAATTACTTTATTGTGTTTTTTTAATTATAATAAATAAGCTGGACTGATTTAGAAAATGGAAACAGATGGCACAAGTGCAACTCCGTGGTGTAGATAGAAGAGAACACTTTGTGAACAAGGTCAAAGAGGCATTATCAAGTAAGTCTCAAGTTTCCATGCATATTATATGCTAATTAAATCAACATCACAGTTTTAATCCTTATAACCAATTTTATTTATCGTACTTTGGCTACCATTCTCACTATTTTTTTATTTTCTGCTTTTTCTATTACCTCTTTTTTACTCCATGAAGATTGGAGAATTCCACCATTTTGTTGCAATTGCTTCACCATTTTATTTTCATTAAGCATTTTTTCATGTTGTTGGTTAATTGAGCACGCGACAACTTAATGAAAGTTTGTAATGGTTATTGTTGAAAAAAACGTATGCTGTGTGTACTATCTATAGCACTATAATCATGGGTTTGGTTGGAATTCCTAGATATGAGACACGGCTCTTGGTTGCTGGGGGGTGGTTGGAACAATGATCTATGGGGAGGAGAGATGCCAATGGCCTCTTGGATTGATGATATCTCTCCTTACAATCCTGTAAGAAGTTTTGAGTTCACACGTTCTTTAATCTTGGAGTGGTATGCTATTTATTTTAAAACTTTGCGTGCAGATTTGGCTGACAAGGATGGATGGCCACATGGGCTTGGCAAACTCCATGGCTCTAACAATTGCTGGAATTTCTAATAGCACAGAGGATCCAGGTGGTGGAGCTGTAATGAGAAATGGCAATGGAGGTATTGTCAATGTCATCTTTCTATACCAAGTTGGTTTATTTTTCAGGAGAATTTAACCTTCTGTCAAGTAAACGTTTTTAGCTACAAGAACTGTGTTTCACACCATTTTCATATTATATAGAAGTTATCTTTTTCACTAGCCTTATCGTGACAACCGTAATAAATTGCGGGGTTGGTCCCCTTACACATGGATCCAGCTACAATATATTACACGGCAGTAGAAACAAAATTTTAATTATATTTACACAACAAGCAACTAGAATATTGGTGTCCTTTTTATCCTTTCTTCTTGTCAAATATACACAAATTTATTCCTTTAAACAGAATTGAGCAAAACTAGCTTAAGGTTGAGCCATGATTTAGATCTATCCAATTGTCAATTTTATAAGCTAGAAAAAGAAATTTTGTCTAGTGCCATAAATGATCTCTTTTGAAGTTCTCTGGTATATATAAAAACAAAGACCATTGGAAACAATCTCTTCATCTACTTCGTAGCATGTCCATGAGAAAGCCATGAAATGATCATACTCCATATAGGTAAGCTGGTTTGAGAACTTTGACTTCTGCCTGAACGATATGGTAACTACACAAGGATAAGTTTTCATAAAGAGTCAGAATGGTTCATTAGAAGTAAATGTAATAGATTAACATGCATGCAAGGCACTCTGCTTCTGATGCAGAAAGTTTATTTAGTTAACTTTTCAACTAATAGTGATTGGACTTTCTTGCATAGACAATATATACAATGATTTAGCAGGTTGTAAATGGTGATACACATTTAGTGTCAATTGTGGATATCAGATTGGAAAAATCATTGAATAGAACTCTTTTTACGATTGTTAAATTTGAAATATATCACAAGTTCTTTTCCTCCAATATGATCGAGGAAATTTTTTCATTAGAGACGTAGCCTTCTTCAAACACGAGTCTGTAGAGAAACATCTTATCTCTAGTAATATTGCCAGAGGTAAATTCATGAAAGTACTTCTGATTATATTTATTCATAATATGTTCAGGTTCTTTTCAATCCTATATGCTCCCCTTTCTGATCTACAGAACTTCCATTAATCCATCTAAAAGGTTGAGAAATAAGTTTGGATTGATATCATGTTGCCTTGTCATCACACGCAGAACCTACTGGTTTGTTGATTGACTCTGCAATGAAGCTTGTCCTCTCCTGCATTCCAGAGGTCTCAATAGAGGAAAGGAGGGAAGCTCTATTGAGAGCCAGCAATCATGCCTTAATGAGAGGTGTGACAACAGTGGTTGATTTTGGGAGATATTTTCCTGGTGCATCAACAGAGCTCTCATGGGAAGATTTGTCAGGTTTTAATAACAAGTTCTGAAGGATTCATCTTTGGATAAAAATGTGGTGCTGTCTTGACTCTTAATATTAAATAATGTCTAAATTAGGAAGTCATCATCGTACTGAAAACATCAAAAGGACGACCTTTTGTTAAGATTCTGACCGAGCATTTAAAAAGGAACTAAATGGTACCTATAATGCACAAGGAAATGCAATGAACAGGGTTTTGTGATTTGAAGGCAAAGCAGAAAATTTTAAGAACAGTAAACTAACATGCAACGTTTTTGCATACATGTTTTTCTTCATCTCTTTAGTCTGTTTTCTTTTATATTTTCAGATGTCTACAGATGGGCTGATTCATCCGGGAACATGAAGATCAGAGTTTGCTTATTTTTTCCTATGGAGACATGGGCACGCCTATATGTACTTAAGTGATTGATTTACTTTGTTCGATAGTTAATTTCCTTTCCTTAGTATGCAACTGAGCACATAGCTGCATGCCTGCTTATTTATCATAATTGGCAAATCTCTTGTACTTCTGTCTCTGTATTGACCCTATGCACAAATAGTCATGAACTCGAGAGGATTCTAGTACATATATTCCTATCAAACACCATTCATTTTGGGTATGGTTTTTATACATTTTGTTAATTATTAATCCTCATTGAGATTTTTTTTTTCTTTCTTAGGAACTTATAAATGAAGCAGGTCGTAAGCTGAGTCAATGGATTTACTTAGGTGGCATGAAATCTTTTGCTGATGGATCCTTGGGATCTAGCAGTGCATTGTTATATGAGGTGAGAAGAAAAGCATGTTTGGGAGTTGTTTATAATCCTTTCAAATTATAAATAGATTGAAATGAGTGGTGGATAAGTGGGTGCTACTTGTGGGTCCTATGAAATGTGGATAAAAAGTAATTTGACCGATTGTAAGTAGATTATAAACAAGAGGCAAACAATGGCTAAGACTCTTTTCATTTATGATTATGAAATCCTAATGTATCTAGAATTTTTTTACTTATTTTTCTGGGTAAGTTCTGCATTTAGACCTACACAAAATGGTAGTTAGATGCTTATTGGTCTAATTATTTCTTCTTTTCCCTCCTGTTTTAACATTCTAGGGTGAGAAGATGTTAGGATTAGTTCATGGTATTGAGAGTTTCCATTTTTCTGTAGCCATATGTTGATGAAGTGCAGAATTATGGTCTGCAAGTGGCAGATATGGATGGTTTGTACAACATGACAGTCTCTTCGGATAAATCTGGCCTTCAGGTTCTTTGTTTCTTGCTACGCAGATCACATCCTCTACTTCTCATTCCGCGTGGTTTTGCATTCTTTTATTGATGTCATTTTTATTTTCTTCCAGATTGCGGTTCATGCCATAGGTGACAGGGCCAATGACTTAATCTTGGACATGTTCAAATTAGTGGCATCTAAGAATGGAATTAGGGACCGAAGATTTAGGGTAAATTCGACAGCTATGAGTCTAAGAGGTTCATCAATCGATTCTCAAGTTTCCTTGTGCTCGACGTATTCCGGCACTTTTTTCTTTACCAATAAAATTTTCAGAAGTGTTGCTTATAATGACTGCTATGAGATTTTGTAGATTGAACATGCTCAGCATTTGGCTCCTGGGACAGTGGCCCGATTTGGTGAACAAGAAGTTATTGCTTCAGTTCAGGTATATTTGTTCTTATACAGTTCTCCTGGATTGCATTTGAACATTTGAGGCAAATTGATATATGCCGATATGTTATAAAAGGTTGTCTCGTTGTAGTCATCTTTTCCTCTATTACTAACATTTTCATTCAGCTTTGTAACAGATAAGTTTTGTACAACTTTGAAGTCATGCCTTAAAGAATAATGTGAGTTATCATATGATTATCAAGTTCCACAAAATGAGAAAGCTTGGCAATTGTTGATGATGTGAATAAATCATCTAATTTAGTTGAAGAAGAGAAAATTGTATGAGTGGACTCTAAATGTAATTCACCAAACACGTTCATCAGTTTCTCTGTTGTTACGAAGAAAAAGGATCCTTTATCACCCTTTAGTGGAAAAACCAATGGGTTCCCATACTTGGATTCTCCATATTCAGGCATGACTGATATTAGAAAGTTTGTACCACTGAAAGGAACATGCAAGCTTCATCTTTTTCTTACTATGTTTGTACATAGCTAGAAGGGACGAAAGCCAAAAAGAAACATGGTAAGAAAGGCATGAACCATTGAAAAGAAACATAGGATACTTTCCCTTTTAGGTTTCTTCTTGTATGATTTTAGTATTGCCTGAAGTCAAATAAATGTAATTCTTTTAAATGTGATTGCAGCCTGTTTGCCAAATGCTTTATATCCATGGTTTCTATTGGTTACTTATTTTTATGAGGAGCTTCTTTTTAATTGCACCTTTTAATTCTACTTGATAACAGCCTGATCATTTATTGTATGATGCTGATTCTGCCATAAAAAAACTCGGGATGGAGAGGGCACAGAGAGGATCGTATTTATTAAAGTCACTGCTTTCTGGCAATGTGCAGTTGGCTTTTGGTTCTGATTGGCCAGTAAGGACATGACATCTCTATTGATATTTGGGCTTCAATATATTCTGTAATCAACAATGACATTCATTTGTTACTATTTATCTCATGTATGGCTGAGCATTATCTGGCTTCAGGTAGTAGATATTAATCCCTTGGGTAGCATAAGAACGGCAATGAAAAGAGTACCTACTGGTTGGGAGAAGGCTTGGATTTCATCAGAATGCATTAGTCTGAACGATGCACTAAATGCGTAAGCACTGCATCTATTTCTGATTATTTATTTATGTTGGCGGTCCTGTCTTATTTGCTCATGAATCTTGAAATAATCTAAATGATATACTTTAGCTTAGTGCTTTTCATAGCGTAGTGTAGGTGACTGAGCTTACAGAATAAATACGCGGTGTAAATGGAAAGTAGAGTTTGCCCAGGTATAGGACCAATTTACTGATCGACTGCGAACAAATATCAATATGATGATCTTTATCATTCTAATAAGCTGTTGTAAATTTAGTAATCGGGACAATTAGGGCTGGGCAACGGGTCGGGTTGGGTTCATTTTGGCCCGAACCCGGCCCGACCCTAGTTGATCGGTTCTGTAGTGTTGCATAGCCCGAACCGACCCGTTTTGGTTATTGAACCCAAATCGCACGGGTCAGGCCGGGCTTTGTTTTAATTTTATTTTAATATAAAACTTCCAAATCAACTCTTAATTACTCCAATTAAAATTGGAAAAAACTTAATTGGTTAAGCAGTTTCTTTGGGATATATTAAATAGTTTCCTTGTTTGATATATATATATAAAGTTTGTCATTTCCTTCTCACAAAAAACTCGTAATTTCCTGTTTGTTTCCTATTTGAAAAAAACTTAATTCATCTCCCGCTTGTACAAGCTTGTCATTTCCATAATTCACAAAATAATTTAATCGAAACTAGGTAATATAATAAAAATTATAAAGTCATCCAAATTTAAACTAAGAAATTTTCAATTTACAGTCATCCGGTAATAGAATAATAAAGAAATGACTAGTGATTTAAGGCCAAACCGAGCAATTTACCTGCGGCGGGTCAAAGGAGGAAGAAACTATGTACTATTTGATTCAAACTCTAATTGGGAAAGCTCTACAAAAATAATTATTGAGTTAGAATCAATTAGATAAAACAAATATATTCTACATAATTCATAAAATAGTTTTAGCTATGTTACCTTTATCGAATTTGTTATATTCCTCCACATCCTCCATGTAAAATTTCCCTATGATCCGAGTTTCTTTTAGCCAATTTTGAGTACACACCAAGTCCTCCACCATCCTCGAGATTAAAGAACTACGGAAGGGGTCAAGAATTCTTCCTTCGGTACTAAAAGCACTTTCTGAAGCCACAGTATACACTTGAATTGCCATAACATCCCTTGCAAGTTTGGACAAAGTGCCATATTTATTTCCATTAAACCGCCACCACTTAAGAACATCAAAATCCGTGTTCTCTATGTTTTCAAAGCATCCGACAAATACTTATCCACATCATTTTTTAGCTCAACCAAATCCTTTGCTGCTCGCTTTTTCATAAACCTAGAAACACGATTAAGAGACAAACTTGAAGTAGGACTTTCTTTAGTAGAAGAACCCTCTCTTGAAGAATTCACTTCACTAGATACTTCATTGCTTTCAGAATTTGTTTCACAATTCACATACCAACTGTAAATAGACATTATATTGTCTTTAAAAATATTTGTCATGTTACAAACAACTTCCTTATCTTCATAAATATCACCAAAACAAAAATCAGCATACTCCAATTTGTATCTTGGGTCAAGTATAGTAGCAATCAAAAGATAATCACCATTTTTACTTCATTCTTCCAATTCAGAAGTGAACGTACTTCATGAAGATAAATATTAGAGCTCACACACAATGAAGTACTAAATTTCAAAGTTACTTCATAAAATCCTTTAAGGAACTTCACAAAAACAGAAGTATTTTCCCAATCAGAAGTGCTAGGAGGTCCACCCCTTCTTCTACCACCATCATATTCCTGAAAATAATTGAAATATTATACATCATCCTCCTCTAACCTTTCAAAAGCTTTTTGGAATTTTAAAACAGTTTCCAACATCAAATATGTGGAATTCTACCTAGTTGATACATCCAAAAATACAAGTGATTTACAATCAATTTTTCTTGACTTGCACACTCCTTAAACTTTTGTTCTCTAGCAAGAGAAGATTTAACATATTTCACTGCATTGCAAATACTAACAATTGATGCATATGCTTCCTTTAATCCCTCACATACAATCAAATTAACAATATGCGCACAACACCTCATGTGCAAATATTTTCCATCCAAAACATAGCCATTACTACTCCTACCAATCATTTTCCTTTTAAGATAAGAAATAGCCGTTTCATTTGCAGTCGCATTGTCAACCGTGATTGTAAACACTTTCTTAATACCCCATAAACGTAAACAAGTCTCAATAGCTTTACGCCTTTACCAATGGTTTCACTTTTATGATTAGCAATCATAGAAAAAATTAAAATTCGTTTATGAAACTTCCAATCAGAATCAACAAAGTGTGTAGTAAGAGACATATAATTAATGTTTTGAATGGAACTCCAAGTATCAGTAGTAAGAGAAACTCTTTGATTTCGGAGGATTTTTCTCAATTGCAATTTTTGATCCAAATACAAATATTAAATAAAAATGCAAATAATATGTACAGATATAACTTATATAGTAATTAGTAAAGATGTTCAGGTGCAAAAGGTAACATCTTTATTTCCCTCCAAGTGGCTAAGAAAACCAAAAAAGGCAGCCTTGTAACACATTGTTCCAAAATTTATTAGTACAAGGAACTTGTATAATGCCATCCCCTAATAAATGAAAAAGAATGTATAAAATTATTGAATTACCTGTGCCAAATAATATAAGAAATGAATGGGAAAATCCAATCTAAATACTCGAATGGGCCGGCCCGGCCCAAGGCAAACAAGGCCACTGCCTTGGGCCTCAAGATTTTGAGGGCCTCATTAAAAAAGAAAAATTCAACCCACACCTGCCCCAGTTCAAAATCCACCAAATCCATAAAAAAAATCATTTGTTACCTTAGGGTTAGAGGAACAAGAACTCAAGAGATAGTGAAGACGATTGCTCTCATATCACCACTAGAAAATCTATTAATTCCCACACACACAGTTGTTGCATTTACCTTTACTTTAGAGAAACTGATTGGCTTGTTTATTCAAACAAGAAGTTCTTGATTCTATTGAAGGCTTTCAAAAATGTCAAAAAAATTGAGCCAAGATAAGATTTTATATTATTGTTTTTTTTTTTTCTTCAAATATGCATTTATGATGAGATGTTTTGTTCTTTAATATTTTTTGTACTTTTGGTTTGGGTTGAAAGAGTTTATGTGAATGAAAGTTGAAAATGTTAGAAACTTGGCAGCTCCGCCCTTAAATTATCTGAATTTTGGAGAATCTTGTTGATATTGTCATGTTTATATTCTAGAATTGGAGACGCTACTATGTTTATCAATTAAAGTTTCTAGGGAATAGAGGAATGCTAAATCGTGAATCTTTTGATAATGCTTTAATTTGTCCATCGTTATCTTGTTTGAAGTGGAGTTGAGGTCATTGGTGTAACTGGCTAGGATTTTCAAGTGAAACAGATTCGGCTAGAATATCGTTTGACCATAAGCATTCTTTTTGTTTTACTATGTAGCCATTGTAACCTAAGCAGGCAAAGTTGAGATCCATGAATTGAAGTGTTCTTGGATTAACTTAGAAAATTACTTGAAGCATAAAGTCTTTGTTTAAATATAAATATGTTATTATTTAAATATTTAAGTATTTTGCGCTTGTAAAAAAATATATTTAGGGGCCTCAAAACACTTTGGGCCAGCCCTATTACTCGACCCAAGGAGCCCTACGTAAAAGCAGAATTATCTTTTGCGAATGGGACGAAGCTAGGAGGAAAGAAGAATGAGAAGCTCTCATGTTTTATTGTGAACTGTAGTGTTAACATCTTTTAATGCTTTCAGCTGTTAAGACTAACTGCAGTGCTTGTCCATCAGTTCTCATGTACTGTCATCGTTTCATTGGCAGGTATACCATCTCCGCTGCACGTGCATGCTTCCTCGATGAGGATGTTGGATCTCTATCTGTTGGTAAAATGGCTGATTTTGTAATTTTATCCGTGGATTCTTGGGATAACTTTGCCGTGGAAGGATCTGCTTCTATTGAGGCAACGTATGTTGGGGGATTGCAGGCATACTCCAGCAAGCTTAAGGAAGATATGTAAAAATGTGAAAAGAGAACACTGCTGAGGAGCATTACATGTTATGTTGTATAATAACTGGAAGTTGACTTTTCTCTCTTATCTATTTATACTGACGTAGTAGGAAATATGTAAATTTGATCTGTCAAAAAGGATTTGAACATTGTAAGTCAAGGAGATGATGCTCTATCTACTCTTGTATTAGTATCAATCTATTTTTGACAGTCAGATCCTCAACCTTTTAAAGCAACTTCATTGTTAATCTATAAATTTCGTCATATTGCCGCGTGATTGTGGCATGTCGAACTTTTTGAAAGCTTAATAAAAAAATAAATACTGGGTATGACGAAAAAATTTAAAAACATAAAAGGAAAGGAAAAGAGAGAAGCTATCCCTCTCCTTATTTTTTTCACATTTAAATTCCATTTTTATTCACACAAGCATTTATCTATTTTACTCTTTGAAATAAATTTAGTTGCCTGCTTTTTTAGTTCTCCTCTACGAAAGATCAATTTGCTACAATTTTTGGCATAACCCTCCCTCTATTGGAAGCAACACAAATCAATGTACAAGTCTTTATGAGTTCAGAGAGATTCATTTTCCTTTCCTTCTTGTGAGTTTTTTCTTTACGAAAGTCTCTACGTACACATTTATTTCATATTATTCGTACATCACTCTTTTATTATATAATATGAGCATATACGTGATTTCATTCTTTCAGAAAACGTCTAAAACCAATTAAACTGATTTTAAAAAATTACTGAAAACCATCCAAAATCAAACAGTCATAAAGTCCCAAATTCGTTACATCAGGAAAAAAAAAAAAAAAAAAAAAAAA